AATTATTTAGAAAAGCTAAACTTGTTCTTTCTCCACCAAGGGCTGTCCACCTCCTTCCCATACTGCGTTGCCTAGTGCATTTTTCTGGGAGCTGACCTTGTCCATGAAGACAGAGGCAAAGAAAGCATTGAGTACTTCTGCTTTTCCCACATAATCTGTCATTAGGTTACCTCCTGCATCCAATAAGGGCCCACACCCTCTCTGAGCACCCTCTTATTGCTAACATGCCTGTAGAAACCTTTCTTGTTATCCTTCACATTGCTTGCTAGCTGCAATTCCAATTCTGCTTTCACCTTCTTAATAACTCCCCTGCATTCTTGAGCAATATATTTATACTCCTCCCTAGTCATGTGTCCAAGTTTCTACTTCTTGTAAGCTTTCTTTTTCTGTTTAAGCTCACCAAGGATGTCCCCGGTAAGCCAATCTGGTCGCCTACCATATTTGCTTTTCTTGCTGCGTATAGGGGTGGTTTCTTCCTGTGCCTTCAATAAGTCTTCTTTAAAATACTGCCAGTGCTCCTGGACGCCTTTCCCCTTCATGTTAGCATCCCAGGGAATCCTGCCCATCAGTTCTCTGAGGAAGTCAAAGTCTGCTCTTCTGAAGTCCAGGGTTTGTATTTTACTACTCTCCTTTCTTCCTTTGGTCAGGATCCTGAAATCTACCATCTCATGATCACTGCTTCCCAGGTTGTCACCCACCTCTACTTCCCCTACTAGTTCCTCCCTGTTTGTGAGCAGCAAGTCAGGCTGCGCATGGCCCCTGGTCAGTTCCTTCAGTACTTGTACCAAGAAGTTATCCCCAACATTCTCCATAAACTTCCTGGATTGTCTGTGTCCTGCTGTATTGGTCTCCCAACAGATGTCAGGGTAAGAACTAGGGCCTGCGATCTGGAAGCTTCTCTCAGTTGTTCAAAGAAAGCCTCGTCTGCCTCATCCACCTGATCCGGTGATCTATAGCAGACACCAACCACAACATCACCCCTGTTGCTTCCACCTTTAAACTTAACCCATAGACTCTCGACAGGCTTTTCTTCCTCTAAATACTGGAGCTCCAAGCAATCATACTGCTCTCTTACATACAATGCAACTCCTCCTCCTTTTCTCCCCCACCTGTTCTTTCTGAACAGTTAATACCCTTCCATGACAGTGCTCCAGTCATGCGAGTCGTCCCACCAAGTCTCCGTTATTCCAATCAAGATGTGCTCCTGTGCCATAAATGCTTCTGCGGTTGCAGAGCTTTGGTGCTGATGTGGTGCCTCTGCCAATTTTCACTGCCCATGATTTCTGCTGACTGACATGGTGACACAGTCTGATTGTCTGTAGCACGCAACCATGAGTTAGGGATGTTAACTGTCAGGTATTTGTGTAAACATGTAATTGAAATTTTAGTCGTTAGATGTTTGCACCTGAGGGGTGCAGGCGGGAGCCAGTGCTCACAGAGAGCTGGCTAACGAGACAGCAGTGTGGGGCTCTGTGGGAACCGATATGCCTAGTAAGCCAGCTTGAAAGCCACTTCCCATGTGTACCGGCTTCCACCTACCTCTCCACCTCCTGCACTGCTGCCTCTTTCTCTATCTGCCTCTCTATCTCTAAAAGCTGGCTCCCTGCACATGCAGGCTTCCACTCCCCACTCCCCCTACCTTGCTACCTCTATGGGAGGCAGCAGGGGGTGGGGGGACAGACAGGGGCTCCATGGAGCCAGCACATGCAAGGAGCCAGCTTAAAAGCAAGGCAGCAAGTAGGGGGCGGGTGCATGTAGTTGATAGGATAAACCTGGGTTTATCAGTTAATCGTGTAGTCGACTACACGTTGACATCCCTACTGTGAGTTTGGTTGCCTGTTCTATGTCTTCAAGCATTGCTGCATTGATGTTATCCAGCAGAGTATCCCACTCCTAGAATCTGAAGAGAATCTAAAAACTGTTTTAACTATGTCAATGACTGTTATAAGGAGGATGGTGATCAATTATTCTCCATGTCCACTGAAGGTAAAACAAGAAGTAATGGGCTTAATCTGCAACAAGGGGGATTTTGGATAGATATTAGGAAAAAAATTCTAACTGTAATGGGAGCTAGACTGGATGACCTCTTGAGGTTCCATTCAGCTCCATATTTCTATAAAATGCAGGTTCCTGCCCCTGTTTGTTTTATATGGTGCGTTTGACAGCATTTTGTGCAATTGATTAATTTCACTCCCCCTCCCCTCCATATAGTTGATTTCTTTTGTTGATGGTGTGAGCAGGAGGGGGAAAACATTTTAAATAGGAAAATGTGACTATAAAGCCACAAAAAATTGCAGGTGAATCAGAGAGGGGCACTGCCCTATTTCATCTTTTGCTCTTTCTTGGAAAATTAGAAGACTTCAAATTGTCTGTCCCTCTTTAATTTGGATACTAATCACAAGAACTACAAGTCCCAGCATACAGTGATCTATTGTAGTATCAACAATCTGAATCTGGATTCAAGAAGAGCATGGCATGCTGGGACTTGTAGTCCCAACTGACTTTCTCTGTAATGATGGTGGGGGACACACGCTGCAATCAGCTGTGCATTGTTTGGGTCAGAAATGATGGGCTTACTCTTCACATACTGAGTGTACAGTATTAATATGCTGTACTGTATATAATCCTTTATACATTCCCCTATCTTGAGATCAGTGATCCAGTTTAAGTCTGTTTCTTCTTTGGTTTTACTGGATGGACTATTTATGTAGTGGATATTTCTCACTCACAAGTGACCAGAGTAATGAGAGGCACGTTGTTTTGAGGGATCAACTGGTAGGATCTTTGGGACAGAGACTGTAACTTCTTACATAGCACCTACCACAGTGGATCTGTGGTCCTGGGATTTGGCTACATTTGACAGAGCACAGAACGAATTTACATTATGAAGTTAAGAAAGCTTTCAGATCGTAAGTGCAAGAAGCATAGCTCTGTAAACGTCTGGTGGATAAACAGAAGAACTCTGGATCAGGATTTAGTTACAATGGTTGGAGACTGGCTAGGAATTTGTACAGTCTTTGCTTTTCCCTATCCAAGGTATCCTATTCTGGGAAGTAACATTGTCCAGTAAGCAGGGCACATGACTGAGATCTAAACCCAGCTTTACCACACACTTGGCACTGCAAAGACTTTCACACACTTAACATTGCTCCCAAGAGCAGTCCCAGTGAAATCAATAGAAATCCTTAATAATTATTAGTTTTAATTGCAGTAATAGCACACCACTCAGTGTGCTAGGTGCTGTACAAACACTGAACCAAAAGATGGGTTCCAGTCCCAAAGCGCTTATAATCTATGTACTCATAATGGTAACGTTAAGTACAGTCCATGCTAAATTTTTGTTCAGTCAGGATCTTTGAAACCAGAGTTATTTTGTCCCAGTTCTGCAAATGTATTTAGGTGCTAACTTCGGATGATTTCAATTAGAAGTAGGTGCCTAAATACCTCTGAAGATCTGGATCTTTCTCTCTGCCCAATAAAATAGAATGCAGGACAATGTAGCACTTTAAAGACTAACAAGATGGTTTATTAGATGATGACCTTCCGTGGGCCAGACCCACTTCCTCAGATCAAATAGTGGAAGAAAATTTTCTTCCACTATTTGATCTGAGGAAGTGGGTCTGGCCCACGAAAGCTCATCATCTAATAAACCATCTTGTTAGTCTTTAAAGTGCTACATTGTCCTGCATTTTGCTTCAGCTACCCCAGACTAACACAGCTAAATTTCTATCGCAATAAAATAGAGATACTGTTACTTAGCCACAACATGGGGGTATCATGTAACTTAATTAATTAATGTAATTAAAACACTTTGAGATTCTGTGAGCAGGTCCTGTCTCATACCAGGCCTCTGATACAAGGGCTTATGTATCGGTGTCTCTTCTTACTACGCAGTGAACTATAGAAAGGAAAATTTTAAAAAATGACAAATAGTCTTGCAGCACCTTAAAGGCTAACAAAACATGTAGATGGTATCAAGAACTTTCATGGGCACAACCCACTTCTTCAGATGCATGGATTTAATAAAGGTCCAGTTCCAAAATAAATGGGGGATGGGGAGAGAAAAAAGGGTGAAAGAAATAGTCAGTGTTCATACCACATGAAGCTGATAGAGAAGGTGCAAATTGTTTGTTTTTTAAGTTATTAGGATGTGGAATGTAGTGTGCTAGCCAGGTTATGCCTTTGTTCATACCTTTGTGATGGGTCCCAAACCTGTAAATGAAGTTAAGTTTATTGTTAGTAGTAGTGCAAACTGCAATAGCCACATTGGTGTATAATACTTCAGGTTTTTTTTTTTTTTTTTTTTTTTTTAAATAAGAGCTTGGATAAATGCTTGTGTGTGATAGTCCCTGCAAACATGGATCTCTTGTAATTGAAGAGGATCAGTCTCAAGTGTCAGGATGAGGGGTGGGGAATGAGATAACGAGATTAATAAAAAGGTCATGTTTTCATACTTTACAACTAGGAGGAACAGGAACTTAGTTCTTAAATGCTGAAATCTGAACTGGTTACCTAATAATGTCAATCCTGGAGCAAGGGTTTGTGTGGAACCCCTTAGGAACCCAAAAATGGAGGCACCCCCAGTCATGGGGTGTGTGCATGCTGTCAGCAATTGGGAACCTGTGGGGGGTGCGCATATGGCATTAGGCAGAGGCGACTGGTAGCTGTGGGCGGAGGGGATGTAGGGAGGGCCACCCTGAGGACATGAGGTAGCACCCAATTTAGCAGGTACAGTTTTGGTGGGGCGGGGAGGTGGTGCACCCCCTGAGAGCTACCATGGGGGTGCATGTTTTCTATGGGGCTGCCCAGAGCTAGGGTTGCCTTCCCCCTCTCTGGGCGTGTGCTGCACCCAGACAGATGCCCAGGGAGAGCGCCCCGCGCCGCACGCAGGCCCGCGGCCCAGGGCGCTGATGCTGCGCTAGCTCCCACCCAGCCCCTGCCTGGAGCAGGGAGCCTGAGCCGCCAGCAGGCTCGGCCTAGCCGTCCCATGATGCAGCGCGCCGCCCCAGTCCCCAGTGGGCCGCCATGTTGTCGGAGTGAAAGGCAGGGGGAGAGGCAGCCCGCGAGAGGCCTGGGGAGGGCTGCGATCCAGCTTCATCCTACCGCTCCGCCCGTGAGTATCGGGGCCGGACCGGGCCTGAACTGGGCCCTACACCCCCGGGGACCGGGCAGTGGCGCCATATTGGGGCTAGGGGCTCGAGGAGGAGCTGGATGGGGGCCCCGAAAGGCAGCGCCGGCCGCTCGCGGTGGCTGGGTCTCGCCTCTCGCTCGGTTCCTTGTGCATGTTTTGGAGTCGGAGCAAGGCCCCTATTGTTATCAAAGGGAGGAGGGGGGAGGAGCGGGGGGCCCATAATATTCCCTAACCCCCTCCAGCCCCCCCCGCAAACTCCATTAACCCTTATCCTTGGTCCCTGTGAAGTTGGGGCAACCCCCTGCCCCGATCCTCCCGAGGAGAAGGAAATCGTCCTCCTTGTGGGGGTGCTGGGGGTGGTGTCAAGCCATTGTGCTTCCAAAAAACAACCACCACCGAGGGTTTGTATTGTCTTGTATGTAATTCATAGTGTGCTTTTAACCTGGCTTTACAGCGTTGCCGGGGAAGGAGAAGATTGGGGGGGAGGGTGTCCCTAAATGTGATAAATAGCGTCCAAACCATTCGTAGCTGGTACACAATTCAGATTCCTAGCAATAGGAATTGCTGGGGATTGTGTGTGTGACACACACATTCGTGTCTGTGTAGTAATATATAACTGGGGGTGCATGCATTTAATTCTCAAAAAAGTGATACATTTGTATTGTCATAAGCGTCCCAGTATGTTTATGGTTTATGCTTTATAAATAAATAGTTGGGTTTAATCAATAGTTGGGTTTTTTCTGAGTCCTGTTATGTATGTATGTGTGAGAGAGAAGGGTCTTTATCCATTCTAGTGGAATGGAATAAAACGCACACAATACTTTCTTACTCTCTTTTCCTCCTTTCTCTCCCCGAAATATTGTTTTTTGGATAATTTTAATTAAGCAGTTTTATTTTGAAGTGAACACTGGAGCTTGTTCTTTACCCCAAACTGAGAGAAATTCCTGTTTTTTATTTTTTCTGTTCAATGTTTAACTTTGTTCCAAGTAGAAATTTTATTAAGCAGATAATGAGTAAGGAATTTCCTTTTATTGAGAGGGTGGGCAGTTTAGCATGTATCTTATGACGTGTTTTAATGTTGGTTTAAGAAGTTAGTTATCAATTTACCCACTTCCTGCTGTGTTTCCTTAGGTTTTAATGAAAATGTGAACTTTTGTTTGTGTAGGCCAGATGCCTCTTAAACAATGGGTAGGCAGTTGTGATTTGTAGTCAAACTTTATGGAAAAAATCGAGACGTTGCAGATTTCCTAATATAATTTTGTTAAGTACATTTCATGTTCAAGTTTTTTAAAATACTAAGTTTTAAAAAATCAGAGGGCTTGGAGAAAAATTTAGAACTCAATAACTAGTTGTAGTTATGCTATGTGCAGAGTACAGCTATTTTTTCCCAAAGGCTACCACTTCTTGTAGTTACAATTTGTTTAGCAGTATACCCAAAGTTTTTTCTTAGACAGCAAATTACATGCAGCTTAAACGGTTGTTTTTTATAATATAAAACTATTTGTTTGCTACTATGTGTGTGTTTGTGTAAGGGGGAAATAAACTTACGTTAATAGTAATTTCACTTTGGCGCAGTCCCTTTTTGTAGTGTCCAATAGGAGGCTGTTTGTTTTGTAAATGAGTAACTCTCATGGGAAACTGTTTTCAAACTCTTCCTGTATTTTATATGTAAAGAAAATGAGATCCAGTAGTTGCTGGCTAGTTGTCCAGTATGCATTGTGTAGGTGACTTAACATACACTGAAGTGCTGTATGCTATGAATGACAGTATTCAGCTGTCTGCTACATTTATCACAACATTTCTATAAAAACATGCCTCACAACTAAACTTGAACTTCCCATCATACTTCCCCCCTCCTTTCAAAATGTCTCCTGTGCCAAGTTTTCTGTCCCGACTTGGGATTGCCTTCAATGTTAAATAAAGGAGGAGGTTCCTGAGCGCACAGACAGTTGTACAGAATGCAATAATACTGTTAGATCTTGATTGGGATTTTTCTAGTGTCAAGAGAATAATATTTGATAATACTACTTTCCTGTGTGATTTGAGGGAGTAAGAGCTGGCCCCTCAGTTGTGGGAGGGAGAAAGCTTGATCACCCCTTCATTTCAGGAGTAATGATGGAATCTTTAAAAGGTATTTTTTGTAAATATATAGCAGATTGAGACTTAGAGGAACAAGTCGAATACAGAAAAGGACAGGCCCCTTCCCTGTTAAATGCTTTGAAAATCAGGAGGCAGCTGAATTCCTCTGTATTATGTGGTATATCACTTATGTGGTGTAGTTTTAGAGAAATCCTTCAGTTAGGTCACAACTGCTACATCTTCTCAGTTACATGTCACTATTTTGTCATGACCATAATAGAAAATGATGGCATGTTAGTTTGTTAGTAGAGCATTAAGGAAGTTTTGTGTAATATGAACATTTTAAAAGAAAAGTTAAAAATTGGAACCAAGGGATAAGAATAGGGTATGTGGGTTTTTTTTTTTTTAGGAGTTCCTCACAACATACTTTTCCTTTTTTGTAGAAATTAGTTCAGCTTTACTTATCCATAACATTACTCTGGAATGCCTAAGTACTTTGCCACCATCATCAGTTCCTTATAAGAAATTAATGATAGAAATAATCCTTTTTACCTCTTCTGCAGGAGAGTTTGATTCATTTTTGTTTGCTTTGTGTGTGTGTAGAACTTACTATAGGAAAGCTTAAAAAGTTTATGCTGCTAAAAGAGTACCTTGTAAAAATTATACAGCTTTAGTGATGAGACCTCACTACTGTGCTATCTACTTTAGGGAGGGTAATAATTTTTGATGGGGGGGGGGGAACCACTCCAAGAATTTGGAAAGTGGTTGAGGGCCACACTCTTCCATGATATTAATGGATGAGGTGTAGGTTCTGGAATGGAGCAGGGCGGTACAGAGGGGAACTTGGGGTAACGGAGTTTGGGTGAAGAGGCAGTTGTGACCTGGGGCACTGGACTGGAGTTCAGGGGTTGGATTGTGACCTAGGACAGGGAATTGGAGTACAGAAGGGGTGCAGGGATTTGGGTTGTGAGCTAGGGCAGGAGGGAACTGTGATCTGGGGCAGGGAATTGGGGTGCCAGATCTGGGAGGGAGTATGGGTGCAGGAGGGGGCAGAGGATTTGGGTATGTGGAGTGGGAGGCAAAGAATAGGGGAAAGGAGGGGCTGGGGTGCCAGAGGCAAGCTCTGGCTAGGAGACTTACCAGCCAGCAGCCTATTCCTGAATCAGCCTGCCTGCCTGCCCTGTCCCTGCACAGGCTGCAGCCATGTGCTCTGTGAATAACTAGGAGGCCCTTGTGCTTCATGGCTGCCTGTTATTGAAACAGGCAGTTTCCTTTGGCTAGTTTCTGGCCAGAAGGCAGCCAATGGGATTTTGCTGTGGGTGGGAGCAGCTCCTAAAGCCTCTCCTCCCCCTTTTCCCCCTCCCCTCTCCTGGCTTAGTTTTTAAAGTGAAACCTGCCCTGCCGCCGCATTTCTGAGCGGTGTACGGGTGGGGCACGGTAAGCCTGCCTGGGACTGCGCAGCATATGCGAGAGTATTTTGCCCAGGCCTGGGCTATTGTATATTTGAGAGAGTTTTTCTGTTTGTTCAAGAGCTCTTCCTAAATGGTGAGAGCTAGGACCACCAAATTCATATACAGCTTCCTCTTACCTTGCTTTAAGTTACAGTAAGAGTTTGGTTATGCCTGGAATGGGATTGCTTCTAATACAATCATATAGAAAAGAGGCAAAATCACCAGGCAGATGAAAGGAGCCGGGTGGGGGTGAAAGGATGAAAGGAGCTTTTAGGGATGATGGGGAAGGTTGAACCTCCCTGTCCCCCTTCCTCCCAATTTGTATGGGGACATTGTTGGCTGTTCCTCTTCATCAGGGAGCATGGGGAAAGTGCACAGTTTGCTGCATCCCTCACTCTGTCTGGGGAGTGCACACTTTGCTCTCGCTTCCTGACCGACAGGAAGGGGAAGAGCAGGCAACTCAGGTACAGATCTCAGGAGAGAAGAGGGCCTTTGGCCCTCCCCACCAGTACACTTCTCCACCTACAGCCACTCCTCACCCCTCCATCCCTGATTCCTGCACGCTCCCCCCTTCCTGCTCTGAGCCCCTCATTAAGGACCCAGCCAATTCTGGGTAAATATGCTAGTACAGGTTGAACCTCTGTAGTCCGGCCTCCTTGGGTTCCAGACCAGGGAATTTTCCAGCCCACGGGTGGTCAGTATTATCTAGCAGCATTATCAACACTTCCATTGCTTATTGGGCTGTTATTGGGCATTTAGGGGTAAATTAGAGCTAAATAACAGTGCAGAACGCTGAGAGCTAGAACTGGTTGCGGTAAACCAACTTTATGGGACCACGGGAAATTTGGCCACACCCATGAAAAGTGGACATCCAACTAAAATCATTCCAGACAATGAGTGTTTCAGGAATAGGGATGTAAGCGAGTAGTAGACTTCTCGACTACTCAGTAGGCTTAGTTGAGTGGAGTACTTGACTACTTGCTCCCCCCCTTGCTGCCTCTGAATGAGAGGCAGCAGGGATGGGCGGAGAGCTGGTGTTGTGGGGAGCTGGGTTAAGAGCTGATTACCCCTCTGCACTGTCTCAGCAGTGCTTCCTCTCCTCTGCAAAGTTAGAACCAGCAAGGTTTTGCTGAATACATTTATTTGTACAGTTCTTTGAACATGTAAGATGATGTGCATAAGTGTAGAGTTACCTGTTTATATTGTTCTAGAACAGTGGTCCCCAACCATTTAAGGTTGCCGGGCGCCAGGGAGCGTGGCCGTTCACCTGCCAGGCGCCAGAGGGCTGGGCTGGGGCCCCCCCATAGCCGTGTGCCCGGAGATGGGGCCCCCCCATAGCCGTGCGCCCGGGGCCGGCGCTGCCCCCATGCGCCGCGTGTGCAGAGCACGGGTGGCCAATCCGCGGCACTCCTGGGGCTGGTGCTCACCGTGCACCACGTGCCCGGGGGCATTTGTGGGCGCCATGGTGCCCGCGGGCACCGTGTTGGGGACCACTGCTCTAGAAGAACAAAAACTGCATTGTAAACTTAAGGAGAGGGGAAAAAATCCTATTAATGAAGTTTCTATATTCACATACCTCTAATTGATGAATGTGAAAAACACTTCAAATTTGATTGGGGTACTCTAGGTGTTCTTTAACTAAATTAAGATTTCTATTGTCATCTTGTACTGCAACTATGAAAGCTTCAGAGGGGTAGCCCAGTTAGTCTGTAACAGGAAAAACTTAAAAACCAACAAATAGTCTAGTAGCATTTTAAAGACTAACAAAACATGTAGATGGTATCATGAGCTTTCCTGGGCACAGCCCACTTCTTCAGATGACCCTCAGAAGCTATGAAGTTGTTCCTAGAAGTCACTTGTAGAATTTAACTATTATTAAAATGTAGTGTGGTAAAAAGAGGAGATGCTAGCAGGGTTGGGCCCAACATTTTCAGTCAAGATACACAAGGGAGAGCCTCAGCATGAATGTGGCAGTTGACTTCCTTTCATGACGGTATGCAGTCTGATGTTAATGGATGATGGACAAATTCTGCTGTTAGTCCATATTTGTGGATTCTGCATTAGAGGATAGAGTGCTTGAAGGCAATGGCAGCAATTGACACAAAGTTTAGAATTCAGAGGCCTGTTTAGCATTTTTAATGATACTTGAATTTCTTCTGATTTCATAGAGATCATCAAGTCCAGACCCCTGCCCCTCACTGCAAAACCAAGCACCGTCTACATCATCCCTGCCAGATACCTGCCTGCATATTTTTTATATGAGGTGGGATTTACAGAGAGCAAACCCCCAATTTTCTATCAAGGTGTATAGAATCTTCAATGGTATCACTGTCCATGTTGGATTATTGGTCTTTTTGCTTTCACAAAACAAAAAAGGTTCATCACAGCAGCACCACAGATTTGACCTCTGTGGTCTGGCACCCTTGAGACCTGACCTTTCCCAGATTAGGGACTTTGCTGGAACAAGGGTTGTCATTTCTGGACCCCCTTCAGCCCTGTCCTGACCCCTGCCCTCCCAGCTGGCTCCTCCCTCTCACTGGCTCTGCTGCCCTGTCATCCACCTCTGCACACTGGGCTCCTGCTATTGTGCCCAGCTCCTTCTGCCACGCTCAGCAGCCCTGCTGCCTCTGAATTGTTTTCCCTCTGTCATGCCAAGCAGCTCCCCTGCCGCCTTCGTGCCCCAGGCTCTCGGTGCTGCACTGTGCTGCCCCACTGCCTCCATGCCTCAGGCTCCTGCTGCAGAGCCTGGCTCTTGCTTCTGGTCCGGGCAGCCCTGCTGCCTCTGCATTGGGCTCCCATTGTCCTGTTGAGAAGCCCTGCTGCCTTGCCAGCTTGCAGGGCTCCCAGCGTTAGCCCTCCACTGGGACTCTCTGGTCCTGAAACATTTGTGGTTCTGCCAGTTTTGAGGGTTTCAACCTGAATATTTTGGGGTTAGTGATTTATTAACTGATTAGTACTCACTGTCAGAGTATAAGGTAGCTTTATGGGAGGCATTCTCTTTTTTTGCTTTGTTTGTTATGTGGGACAGTTTCTACAGCCAGAGTTTAGGTTTTCTTTCTCTCCCATCAAGTAACTGAACTGAGGCTGTTGGCTCATCTAGCTCTGGAACATTCTGTGGGTGTCTCAGTCAGAGGTTAGGGGGTTTTTTTGGTCAGAGAATGTCCCATAAATGTGATTATATCTTACTGTCTCATGGCCCAAACAAGCCTTCGTGTTTACAAAAGAGTGCCAGTTATATCTGGGGCAGGACTAATAATAGCATGTGTACCAATCATATTTTAGGTTTGAATTCAAAGAACTGCCTGATGTAATGTTTTTGAAGTGAACTTTTGAAGAGTAATCGAGTAGTACTTGCATGCAAATGACAAATCCTGTAGCAGAACTGCCATTAATATCAAAGTTTATAAACCTTGATGTTGCAATTTAAATTCCATTACATTCTCAAGGTTTTTTCCCCAGAAGTTTTCAGGGCTTAATTTTAGATTAGATTGAGAAAAATACTAGTATCCTGACCCGCACAAGAAATTTCACTGGCACAACTTGGTGGTCTGATTCCAAGAAAATAGGCACCTATAAATATATTAACTATACTGGCAACATCCTGTAGAATAAACTGTCATTTAGACTAGTATGTATTTTTAATATATTGTACTGAAATGAAGTTTGCTAAATTTAACTTTGAGAGAGATGGGTCAGATGTGACTAACAGGAAAATGTAAACATGTCAAAAGAAGTAAAGATTTTTTTTCCTGATGCAGGCAATATGTGTTTCATCAGTTATTAATATGATTAAACATTGGAAAAACATTTGTCTCCCTAGGTGTTGGTGGAATGAGCGTTGCGTGTGTTTTGAAAAGAAAAGCAGTGCTCTGGCAGGACTCGTTCAGCCCCCACCTGAAGCAGCACACACAAGATACAGCTAATCCCAACATGCCTGTTGTTTTGACATCTGGAACAGGGTCCCAGGCTCAACAACAGCCAGCTGCAAATCAAGCACTTGCAGCAGGGACACACTCCAGCCCTGTCCCTGGATCCATAGGAGTTGCAGGCCGCTCTCAGGACGACGCTATGGTGGATTACTTCTTTCAGAGGCAGCATGGTGAGCAGCTTGGGGGAGGAGGAAGTGGTGGAGGCGGCTATAATAACAGCAAACATCGCTGGCCTACTGGGGATAACATTCATGCAGAACATCAGGTAATAAAAAGAAAAAAGTTAAATATTTCAGACTGAATGTATGAACAAATCAGGCTTAGGATAGCTGCTTTTAATGAACCTTCTTAAAGCTTAAGCTGGTTATTGTGCAGTTTGGATGGTATCAGCTGGACTTTTCCTTTCTTTTCAGAATTGTAATGCTTCATCAGTTATAAATGAAATGCTTTCTCACTCTTGATAGAATTGAACTGGAAGTCCCACTGCATTTTCTGTGATGGTAGTTAAAATGAATGTTTGAAAAATTCATCTCTATTTTTTGTTTTTGTATATGAGAGCCAGTTTAGCATTATCTGTTGCTTTCTTATCAAACCCCATGCTGTGGTAAAATTCATTTTTATGTAATGGTATTACAGAACTGTGTTGTCTTTTAAAGCATGTAGGGATGAGGAAATCTTCGATCTCTAATGAAATGCACAGCTCTGATACTTGTCTGCAGCACAAAGAGAAGAGAGGGAAAGGGGATCGAGCATGGTTAATTGAACAAGGAAGAAAGTTCATAAAAAGCAGTTGTTTTCCTATAGGTTAGGAACAGGTCTTTGCTTTCACATGTATTTAATATCCTAAAGAATAGTGGGATACTTCTACTGTGCCTATAAATGAAGAAAAGGAAGACAGAATTTAACTGTTAGCTGTGATCTTTATCTTTTCCAGCCAAAAATATGGTTTAAATCCCAGCCTAAATTACCCTATATGCTGTGTCTTAAGTGAATACAGGCAGTCTCCGACTTACGCGGATCCGACTTATGTCGGATCCGCAGTTACGAACGGGGCTGCCCCAGAGTACACGGACTGCGGGACCTCGCGGTCTTGCCGCCCGTGTACTCTGGGGCTTTCTCTGAGTCTCCCTGGTCTGCAGACCAGGAAGACGCAGAGCAAAGCCGCGGGGGGGGGAAGGTGCTGGGACAGGGAGTCAGCCCAGGCGCCCCTGGACTGCTCCGCTGCCGGCTTCCCCGAGGCTTTGCAAAGCTTCGGGGGAAGCTGGC